AAAGACCTTTTTTTAAGGACGCTCTATTTGAAAATGGCGCCAAATCCCATAATTTCTCAAATTTATTTTTTTGTGACGTCGCACTTTAGGACTCTATGATGACTATTCGTCACTATTCATCACTTTTCGCGACTGTTTGCCACTATTCACACTATTCGAGACTATTCACACTATTCGGGACTATTCACTATTCGGTATTCGGGACTATTCACTATTCGCTATTCGGGTTTTCCAGACACCCGACCAAAGTAATCATTCAGGCCAATCACAAAGGACAGAGACAATCCAGTGAACCAACCAAAACTCAAATCAAATACTTGCAGTTGATGCAAAGCACAGGAAAATATGTGCATGTGAGTCACAAATCGGGTTTAGGTTAAACTCCTGATTGGATGACAAAGTGGTGTGAGATTTTCAAAGCAGTCACTTAAAAGCCAAGTAATGCAAAACATGGCAAATGTGAATTATTTTCAAAACTCAAGTAAAATCCACTCTAACACTAAGTATTAATACAGAGTAAGCTGGATCGTATGTGTTGACGAAACGACACAAGTCTTTTTCTCGTGATGAGTACAAAAAAATTTAAAACTGGAAATAAAGAATCCTTAAAGCCTAAAAATATGATAAAAAGATGTGGTGGCCAAGTTGGATGTACAAACAAAAGAAGCTGATCAGAAAAAATTGTGCTAGAATATTTGAAATTATGTTTTTGCAACTCTGTTAAACCTTGAGAACTATGACTTGATTCAGTAGTTTTGATTACTGCAAAGTTAGAAAACATGCTAAAAGCTGAACTATAACTCAACAGAAACACAGAACTAACAGGAGCTATTGATGTAATTATGATGTAAACAAAGAAAACATTTTGATAGTAGAAATAACCAAGTTATTTTCCTTTCCTTTTCTTACAGTGTTTCTTAAAAGAACAAGAAAACACTTTCTCTATGTTTCTATCCAGAGATATTGTTTTCTCACAGTGTTTCCTTAGTACAAGAAAGAAAAAACATTTTTTTCACAGTTCTATCCAGTTGGGGGTTTTTCATAAGCTCTGGTGACTGGTGACAATAGCCTTAGCCAAAAATGGAGGCAGCACACAAGATAAAAATACTGTTATAACATAGCGTGTGTGCCAGTCCTATCTAATTCCTATTGAGCCATCAAGAACAAAATCTCTATATACGCACAGCCATGCATATATAAGGTGACATGTGCAGTTTCAGGTTAGCTGCAAAATTTCCGTCGAGTTTGGTGCCAGTTCCTTCTGTTTAAGTTTCGGCAATGTGAAGATTATTCTGAACAAACCAAACTCTACTTCGAGCCTTTGACTTTTGCCAAGCTAAGATGTTTACTTAAAGGTGTGTATTTCGACTTTGTTTGTCTACATTTTCATCGAGTATTTTTGACTTTGTCTGCCTACATTTTCAATATAATTAATTCAAAGAAGCGAATTTTTCATTGACAATTTTAGAAACCAGGTTAAGCGATTTCGCTCAACCATTGTTCAACTGATTGTGGCGTATTAGGATCCTAATGACCTTTGTGTTTCTTCACCGTGCATTGTGAGAACTTTGTAGTCAATCACAAATAAGACATGTTTTAGAATCCAAGTTGTTGTTGCCATGTTATAAAAGAATTGGTTCATGCTTTTAGCTCTGCATATATCGAGTTATGGATGCACTTAGGAAGTTTGGAGAGCACTCAAGAAGCTAGAGTTGGTCTCAGCTGTCGCCTCGAGCAACTCTTACGCTTCTTCCGTGCTCTCCAAACTTCCCGCGTGCATCCATAACTCGATATACAAACGCTAAGCATGAACCAATTCTTAATTGCACAAGTGGGATTTGCTCATTGACAGGGCAGATCAGGAATAGTTTTAAAATTGATGGAGAGATAGGGTGTGAATGACAAAAAATCACATGCTACAGATGTTACAAGGAGAGCTGCAACTCTTACCAGGTGGGATCAAGATAAACATTCTCAGCAGGGAGATGACAGGATTAAGCCAAAAATAGTGGTGGGATATGAGACTGAAAAAGCCTATGTTAGGTCCCTCTCTTAAGATACCTCTCCAAGCTGAAAACAATGAAAATTTGGCCATAGGCATATGGGCACCTTTGGACTTGGGTGGCGGTGACTTTCTTGCCCAAAAAAATTGCACAAGTGGGTGAGCATTAAATCAAGATACAAATGCACTCAAACTGCAGCAAGAAGCAAAAAAGTTCACAATTCTCACATCTAACAAAACTGTTATAATTCCAAAATAGTTATTTTGAAACCTTGCATACTTTATGACTTTCCAGTCAGCCTACTCAAATCTAGTAAAATCAGAAACTTATAAAAAACCAAAAGTTATTTCTTTCCTCCTAGCAAAACTTCAAGAAAAATTTAAAATTTAAAATGGCTCTTTGTGGAGCCAATCAAAACAGCTCTTCTCAGAGTCACTACAAAATTAAAACGCTTGGTCTTCATTTGCTTTGATTCTTTTGTCATTGTTTTGTAAATGGGAAATTTTGTATTGAAATAATATCCATATTGTGGATTTCCATGATACACATTTAATACCATTTAAGCTTAACTGATATGTAGCACTTCCAAAACAGAATACCTGGATCCCTCATATCATTTGACTTTAAATCCATTTTGGCAGAGGCAAACATCAGAGAAAGGTGCCTATAAACCTTGAAACCTTTTGGAATGTTTTCTCCCAAGTGCTGTGGCCTTAATAATGAGTGTTTTGAACAAACAATTTCACAATTTTGAAACTGGGGGGTTGTAGCCCCCACCCTTAGTCTTTATGCCAATGAATTTGGCTGAAAACTCAAAGCAACACAAGAAATACCAAATTTTACGTGAAGGGTCTTTGAACGGTATTAAGAACAGGTGGATAACTCTCAGCTCATTAACGGTCCAGGGGGTATTCTACAAGGTCCAAGGTCCAAGGTCCAACCCTTTACCCTTTTGTATACCATTTTGACAGAAAAAGTACCTCTTTCATATGCCTTTTATTGAAAAAATCCACCCCTTTCACATACCTACTTAAGAACATTGCATCTCTTTTCTAGACCCTTGAAAATCTTGTGAAGTTTAAAACGATGTAAGGTGCTTCTGTTCAAAATATTTCAATTAAAGTCTCTTTGAATACCAAAGGGCAGAGCCTCCCCGTATAGGCCAGTATAGGGAGTA